ACAGAAAGTATCTACCAGAACTTTATGAAAAAGTTAAGAAAAGTGTCCTTGCTGACTTTGCTAAAGATATTCCAACACTAACTGGTATAGCATTCACTACTGATATGTGGACAAGCAGAAACAATGATGCTTTCAGTGCATTAACTTGCCATTACATTTCACAAGAACTTGAACTTAAATCATTCCTTGTTGGAATGGAACCACTCAGGGATGAAAGACACACTGGGAAAGCAATTGCCATTCAGTTAGATGCCCTGATTGACACCCTCAATCTGATTCCAAAGGAACAAACACACAGGTAATTGCTTCAAATTTCAATCACATATTGTTTAACTTCGTATTTACTTTTTCATGAACCTAATGCTTTTTATTAAGTTCGCATTTTACATTTTGTTACCAAACAACTTTAAAAAAATAAAATATAATTTATGTTTTAATTTTGTGTAACATTTGTTTAAATTTTTTAAGAACCAACATCTTTCTGTTAAAGTTTGTATTTTGTTTATGGTCATTTAAAGTTTAGACGAACTAAACATTTTTTTTACCATTTTGTTTAGTTTTATAATAATAATAATAATAATAACAAGTAATAATAATACTCATAATATTTTTTGTTCCTAATTTTTAAGATGGTGCATCAATAACAGAGGTGCAAATATTATCTTGGCAGTTGAAAAAAGCTTGCAGTTACAAACAGAAATTATATGTGCTGATCAACTTTACACTTGATAGTGACAAAAAGCATTGCTAGCGTGAAACTGATCAAAGAGTCTGTCGAAAAATGTGGTGAGTTGGCTGCTCATCTGCACAGAAGCACATTGTCATGTACCAAACTCAAAAAAGTTTGTGCTGACTTAAAAATCACCTACAAAAAGGTTATTTTGCCTTGCAAGACTAGATGGAACAGTCAGTTTTTGAGTGTGAAGTCAGTCCTTGATATCCTGGAGGGTCTTGAAATGTTAGGACACCCGTTTGAGGACAAAGTTCCATCTCACACTCAGTTTCAGATCTTAAAGAAGATTTTGCCTGTTCTTCAAAAGTTCTATGATTTTCTGTCAAAATTTCTGCTGACAAAATACCCACAGTCCATCAAATGATCCCAGGCATCTTCAATTTGCAATTTCAATTTTTGATCTTATACTTTAAATCATTATAACTCGTTTGTTTTATATTTTTATAAACCTGAAATTAGATGTTTGTTATTTAAAACTAAATTAACTTTTCGTTCACATTTGTTTTGCTATTTTTTATTTTCATGAAATTGGGTACATATGCGTTTACTTATTTACTATTCTATGTGCTTATAGCTATGTCAATATCAGACTTGCTGACCAAAAGAATGAAGAATATATGAAACAGTTAGCAACGGCAATGGATGAGCAAATTACAAAATACTATAAAGAAGATGGCATGGAGAACACCACCTATGCGATTGCTCACATGCTAGACCCAGTCTTCCAAGGCAAACTACTTAAAACAAAGCATGACAGATATGAAATGACCAAAACATGCATTCAAATTGAACATCACCTAGACTCATCTGCTAAGGAAATTGACTCACCCTTACTTCTGGAGCGAGCACCTACTAATATTCTAGATTCTGACGAGATTGACTTCTCCTACCTAACCCTGGCTACACTAACTCAGGATGATCTTAGCTTCAAATCAAAATTTAAAAACACTTCTGACATTCAAGCAGAACTAGAAAAATATCTTTCATTACCATTGGTAGCGAAAGAAACTGATGTTTTACAGTGGTGGAAGAGCATGGCACCACAATATCCAAAGCTGGCATCCGCGGTGCTCTGTTGTAAAACTGTTAGGACTTAAGGAAGCACTTTAATAAATAAAAAAAAAACAGTTAAAACTTAACATAAAAGTCCAAACTTCTTTTTCAATTACATGTGTTTTTGAAATCCAAATTTGGCTCTCAGTTAAATTCGGTTAAAAGGTCCAAATTCGTCTTTCAGTTAAATTCGGGGTACTGTTATAGCCTAAATTCGTCTTCCAGTTAAATTCGGTGTTTACATATGGTCTAAATTCGTCTTTCAGTTAAATTCGGGTCTTGAAAAGTCAACTTCGCCAGTCCTTAAGTTAAACTTTTCAAACTACGCAAAGCATAAAAAAAGTATTTAAAAAATTAACTTTTTATTTATAAAATAATTTAGCTTAGATAAAACTAAAACTTGCATTAGTTTTATTAGAATCTTTTTAAACTTTTTGGGGCTGGGGCTATTTTTATTTTTGATGCTTTTGTATGTGCTACAGTGTAAAAATTACTAAACTTTTTTGGGGCCTAAAATTGCGGGGCCCGGGGCTATAGCCCTCTCTAACCCAACCCTCCTTAATCTAGCACTGGAAATAAGACACAAGTATATAAATAAAAATTATATTACACTCTTTGTTAAATAAAGAACACTTGTTTTCTTTTTAAACAATTATAAGATGTTACTTTACATAAAAAACGTCGCTTATTTTTATAAAAAAATTACAAAAGAACAATGTTTCGCAAATATTAGTTCTAAACGTAACTCATTTTGCTTTAAGTTTTTTGCAACTAAATATTATTTCAGTGGTCAGTAATCAAAAGCAATCGCTCCCGCTTCTCGACCAACCTGACTAAGCATTCTAGTTTGATGAGTTTTGTTTTAGTTGGGTTATATATATATGTATTTTTTTTGTGTGTGTGTTTTTGCTTTAACTAAGTATTTTTTTATTTTCTTTTTCGTTAAGATTTTTTTTCTCTTTTTACAATTTTTCTTTTAGATAAGTTTAGGTAAGTTTTTGTAGCGCACTTTTAAAATATTAAAAATTAGCACCTTTCTGTGAAAACGTGTATGTATGTGTATATATATACATACATATATATATATATATATATATATATATATATATATATATATATATATATATATATTACATTTTTAAAAATGTTTGATATTACCAAATTTCTTTCTTTTCTTAACATTTGCATAATTAAATTAAAATATGTTAAATTTTTGAATTTTTAAGTTATTTTTTAAATTTCTAATAGCGGCTTTGCAACTTCAAACGATTTTTTATTTAAAAAAAATTAATGACTAACAAATAAAAAAAATTACATTAATTTATTTACTTTATTAATATATTATTAAAAGTTTATTATTTTATTAATGATTTTGTTGTGAAAGCAAAGATTAGTTTTCCAAAAAAATTATATCAATGTATGTATTATTTATTAAAAAATAACCGCTGCGATGTAATTTGTTTATTAAAAAAAAAGTTTAACTTATGTTTTGTGCAAACTTTTGATGCAGCCGTTTATTTAAAATTTAATTATGAGAAAAAAAAAATGTTTAGGAAGGGAAACCAAAAAAACAATTGCAATAAAAATGAGCTAATTTTAAAGAAAAAATAAAATTTAAATATTGACCAATACTTAGTAAATAAATTTGACAGTTAAGTTAAATCCAAGCATTAACTTCAATTTTAATAAACTTAAATATATTTTTTAAATCAAAATTAAATTTTATATTTTTAAAATCTAAATTAAATTATAATTTTTTTTTTATAAGAATAAAATTATATATTTTTATTAAATTAGTTTTAAATTAAATCATATTTTTTATCAGAATTAAATTATATTATTATGATCAAGCTTAAAGTATTAGCGTTTTTTAAGCGAAAAAATCAATCATTTTAATATAATAAAAACAAAATAAAAATAAATTTGTAGTTTTATTCGAGTTTTTTCATTAGTAAATAGTGCATGTAATGTAAGTAGCAATTAAACTTTATATAGCAAATTTTTGAATTGACTACATAATGCCTTTGATACGCATCATAACCATTGATCTCATATAAAGTCCCAGTATTGTTTGGACTTAAACATTAATTTGGTTAAATTCTAACAGAGATTAAACCCTTCAGTGTTTTAAAAATTTATGCAAGATAAAGATTTGTAATGACTTGTAAAACTATGCTTAAAAAAATAATTATAATATCAAAAACAATAACAATGTAAAAAACATAAAACTTTATAGTGAATAACAAGAAACTAATAAACTTTTATCACCATGTTTTCAAATATAGATTTTCTACTATATAAATATAAATCTTACTTCTAAATTATTTTTAAGGTTTCTGAAAACAAAACTTATTCAAATTTTTAAATAAAAATAATTTAATTTTTTTTTTTTTTTAACTTACATCTAAATTAAGATTTTTTTAAAAAAATAAAATTTGAATAACAAATTATTTTAGGTTTCAACTTTATAATTTTATCATGAACTAACTAGCATTAATCAGCAAACAAATTAAAATATGATTTAAAAAATAACTAGACAATAAATATTACTAACTTAAAAAAAAAATTAAGTAAAAAAAAAAAATACTTATTCATTTTTTCAGTTAAAGCAGCTTCTTCTTTTAATAACGAACATCTAAAATGATGAGATTTATTTGATTAATTCAAAACTAATAATATACAACATAATATAATAAATATATGCAACAGTAACATGTAAAAAATAGACATAACAAGAAACTTTAACCTCTCAAAATAAAATTTATAGTTAAAAGATAACTTTATAATTATTGACATGCATAAACTTTGATTAATTACTTGAATGTTGTAAATATTAATAGATAATCAAAAGAAATCTTAGTACAATCACAATATCTTTTTATTTTGAGCTGATAGTAATACAAAAAAATTAAAATAAATTCAAAACCTATGGTCAATAAAATAAAACGATCAAAATAATCATAAAACTTATGTATGTTTTTAACAAAGCAATACTTTATACCGTAGAGTATCTGCTACTAAGACACTGTTTAGTGCAGTGGTTTCATCACCTGTGACTTCTTGTTCAACATGATGTATAGTTATATGAGTTGGAATAAACAATTCTTTTCTTGAAATTGCTTTCAAAAGTGTTGTCTTGCCCATTCCATTTCTGCCAACAAAACCATACCGCCTTCCAAATGCCATGACTAAATTTGCGTTCTTGATTAAAACCCTGAAAAATAAAAAATATTCTAAAAACATTTATCTTTTAATCTACTTTTTAATTTTTTTTTTTTCTGTATTTCTTTTAATAAAATTTTAACATCTTTTGTTATTTAATTATACAGAAGTAATACAAAGTCTATTGAATATATAGAATCATTTTAAACAAAATAGTAAAATAAATAAATTAGAAAACTTTACATAATTGTTTATTTTTCAAATTGGATAATTTATCTTTATTTTGAAATATCAAATAAAAGTATTCAAACGTGACACAGCTGTTACATGCTTTTAGACAAAGCATTAAACATTTGCTCTTTAGCACTGCGAGTTTCATTAAACTTGAAGCGCTAATTATTGATTTGATTAAAGACTGCAAAAGAAAAACTCCAACCTTTTTTATTTTGTTTATTGACAAACTTTGAGGCATGACTGACAAGATTACAGGTTTATTAACTTAATTTATATAAAATAACTGTCATATCAAATTACACTAGATTTTCAGGTGAAACAGTCAAAACAATTGATGTTTATTAATAAATAACTTATGTTTAAATAAATGTGTACAAATAAAAAAAAAAAAAGTTGTACTAGCATACATATAATGTCGACCTAAGTAAATTAAGCATTGCATAATTTTTGAATGATCCTTTTACTCTTTTATTTATTTGATGACAAAGTTACAAAAAAATATTATTTAACTTATATTTCAGAAAAACTATTTGGATATCCAAAAAAAGTAAAACTTTAACAAATTTTCCGGAATTCTGGATCTTAAAATTATTCAAAGAAAAACTCAATGGCCTTGAAAAATAATAAGACAGGTAACTTTTAATTTAAAAGTACATTGCTTGATTTGTTCTGCTGCATTAATGTTATTGCTATTATAAATATATAAATTTTGAAACGCTTAAAAAGATAACTTTTGTTAATGTTTTGTTGAAACCAGATAAACTTATCTAAACTGTACAAGATTTTCAAAATCCACTTCTAAGTATTTATTTCATTTTAAAAAACTGATATTTAAATGATAATTTATATTTTTAATTAATTTTCTCAACTCAAGAAACCATTTTAAAATTGATCTATCATGTACAAAATTAAATAAAAAAAACTATTATAACCTATTAGCTCCTTTCACTTATAATAATTAGCTATATTGCCATTAGATTTACTCGATTTACAGGATTTATTGCAAACGGGAAAATCCAAATTATGTTTATAATATTAACTTGGCTTCACAAAAAACAAAACATCAAAAATGATGCAAAGTTATTTCAAATTAACAACAAAAAAAAATTTTTACAAGCCATTTCAGATCTTGACTTTTGGCAAACAAATTAGAGTTAACAAAAAAAAAATTAAACTAATTTTTGGCGCCCAACGACTCACAGTTTCAGACATTGATATTCTGTCCTATTCTCTTTTTATACTGCTTTTAACACCATTGATTTTTTATACTAACTGCACATAACATTTAATATTTAACTTATTCAATTTTTGTTCAACAATGATGAAAATTTGTGCCAAATCATTTTATAACCAAGCATTTTTTAATCAAAACATAACCTAATCTTATTTTAACAGTAACTGTTGATGTAGATGGCTAAAGCACCAATCAAAACTTCAAAAATTCAATTACAAAATGTGAAAAGTTTTTTAGGTTTTATAATACAAAAAAATAGTATAATTTACATAAAAATATGATTATGAAGCTTTTTTTTATGGCTCTCTGTGTAACAAATTCTATAATACAAAAAAAAAAAAAGCAAGGTTTTTTTTTTTAAATTTTGATTTATTTGCATGGATTTGCATTTGCATTGCAAGTTTTACGAAAAAAAAAATTTTTTTAAAGTATTTCAGGTTCAGTTTTAGTATAGAACTTTGTATGCATTTCACTCATGGCCTACTATAGCGGCAGGCCGACTAAACATATGGCTTTAAAAAAAACTGTAGGGATTATGGACCAAACAAACACTTTAAGGTGTCCTTATAATTATATTGATATACCTCCAGCAAAAACTGTTATAAAAGACGCTTCAGTTATTTTTTTGTTGTTTTTTTTTAACATCTTCGCTTCCAACAAGGCTGCAAGTAACCACTAATTAGTGTTGGAAGTTACTGGAAGAGAAAAGATAAAGATTATAGAGCAAGATAACGACTGAAAAACGACTTAAAAGATTGCAAATTATATGAATCAGGAAAGTAAGAAAAAGGAAGCGAATTCCAAAGAACTGATGTTCGAGGAAAAAAACTAGACGAATAAGAGTTTTAGAGCACTTAGGAACAGTAACAGAAAAAGGATGAGACTTGACGAGTAACATGAGAATGAATTTTAGTAGATGGCACAAAAGGCGCTAGCTCTTAAGAGCAGTACCCATTATAGCATTTGTAGAAAAGAGAAAAAGAAACAACATTATGACGATGTGATAAAGGTTGAATGTTGGCTGCAAGAGCAGGTCCAACTATGTTTACAATGCGTTTTTGCACCTTGTCTATAAGAGAAAGGGCATCATTAGAAGATCCGCCCCAGATATGGCAATAGTATTCCATACAAGGCCGGATTTGAGATTTATAGAGAATAGAATCTAGAGTGAGAAAGTGTCGAGCTCGATAAAGAGCAACTTTAGCAGATGCTTATTTTGCAACGGATTTGATATATGGTTTCCAAGAAAGATCAGAAGTAAGAGTTTCCTAAAGAAGTAAGAGAATCCTAAAAGAAGAAGGGTAGATGACTCGTCAAGTACATTACCGTTCATAAATATAGGAAGGTCAAAACTATCGCAATAACGATTGCCTGAAAAAAATTGAGTCTTATCTGAATTAAAGTCCACCAGCCACTGTGAGCCCCATGCTGTAGCAGAAGTGAGATCCTTTTCAAGCTCAAATGCCCCTTATTAAGCAACCAGAGGGAGTTGGCTTCTTATCGTGACAAAAATAAATGGTAGTATCATTAGCGAACAATGCCACCTTAGATGTGAGAATTTCTGGAAGATCGTTAATGTAAATCAAAAAAAGTATAGGGCCAAGGGTTGAACCTTGAGGAACCCCTGAGGTTACAGAATAAGAAGAAGAGTGCTGTCTATCAAGGACAACTTTTATACTACGATTGGAAAGGAAGGATTCAATAATCTTAAAGATGTTTCCAGATACACCGTAAGAAGAAAGCTTATGAGAAGACCAGCATGCCAAACTTTGTCAAACGCTTCAGAAATTTCAAGAGCAATGGCCTTAACCTCTCCACCTTTATCTAATGCGTGATAAAACCTATCAGTTATTACTGTTAGCAAATCAGCCGTAGAACAAGAAGATGGAAATTCATTTTGATGATCAGAAAGTAAGTTATTAGAATCAAGATAAGAGATTAAGTGTTTGTCAATTGAAGATTCAAAAACCTTGCTTATGATAGGAAGAAGACTAATGGAACGGTAGTTAGACGAATCAGATCGTTCTCTGGAATTTTTAAAATAAGGGATAACAGATGATGCTTTCCAGCAGGATGGAAAACAAGACTCTGATAAGCACTTGTTGAATTGTTTTGAAAGAATAGATGACAGCCCTGGAGAACACTTTTGCAAGACAATAACAGTATGTGATCCGGGCCACAAACTGTAGAAGAGTCTAAGCAGGAAATCACTTTAGATACAGAAGCTGGAGTGATACGGATGTCAAGCAATGGATCAACCTGTTTGACGGCTATATCAGATAGAACGCAACTAGTGGAATCAAGAGATGATATTGATAAAAAGTTCTTAGCAAACAATTCAGCTTTGTCTTTAGGTGAGGCGAAAAAGTCTGAACTATACAAAAGAGGTGGTATTACAGACTTACCCTTATTATTGATACTATTAAAGATTCTCCGGAAGTCACGAGAGCCTAATTTTTGTGATGAAATAGGAGATTTCATGATCTGAGAATAGCGGGCTTTGGCGTTAGACAAAACCTTTTTACAATAGTTCCTAGCAGTAATAAACAGACCTCTGTTTTCTGGAGAATTGTTTTGCTGATAGATTTTGAAGTAATGGTTTCGATTGGCAATTGCAGCAGCACAATGTGAGGAAAACCATGGAGAAGAGTGAGGCTTGATCTGGAATTGTCGAGAAGGAATAAAGGAATCCATGCCAGCCTGAATCTATGAAGTTATGTAAGAAGCACATTTGTCAACAGGAAAATTAAAGATTTCTACCCAAGGGCCATCACAAAAAAAAATCATGGAAAGAATCCCAGTCAGCTTTAAGGTAGTTAAAAGATATACGATGATAGGGGGATTCTGATGATAAGGAAGAATGAGATAATAGTTTTAGAGAGATCAAACTGTGATCAGAGGCACCTAAGGGTGAATGTGGAGAAAATGAGCACTGACTAGGATCAGAAACAAGACATAATTTGAGTAGAGAAGGTAAATGATTTGGGTTGTCTGGAAAGGGAGTTAAAAAGTTGACATTTGAGTTAGGGATTTAGGGAGTTGGGAAAGTTGTGGGCTTAAATGCCTGCAGAGTCACGACATTAGAGCCAAGCCATTCAGTATAATGAACATTAAAGCCACCGACAACAACAATATTGGCTGATGGATAAAGAGAGAGGGCTTGGTCAATATGATCAGAAATAACATCAAGAAGAGTGCAGTCTTGAGATGAAGGAAAGCAATATAGAAGAAAGAGAAAGGTGATATAGTGAAGTGGTGCTAAATGAAAGCACATAAAAGAGTAGTCTGTGGATTCAAACCTAGTTTCTCAACAAATAGATGAATTCTTACGAATGTAAATGTTTCATCTTATAATATTTTTTTCATAATGTATAAACTTGTAACTAGAGCATACTCGGATCCAATGTCCGGATCCGAATACCCGGGTACTTGTGTCCTAAATTTAATATCCAAACCTGGATCTATTTTGTTTGGGTATTCAGTTCCCAAGTATTTTTACAAAATATTACTTTTTATAATGTTGTTAAATCCACGTACAACAGCTTGTCAATCTGTTTACACTTAAAAGCTTTATTTTATATCAA